AGTTGCCAGTCGACATTGGCTGGCTGATGGAATTCGGAGGAGGCCTAATCTATGCGATCTTATTGGTCTAGTGGAGGTAATTGGCAGTAATTGGCCTTGAGTTTGACACCCCTGGTCTAGAACCATGGTCTCTAACTTCTCCAGCTTTGTGAACCAGTGGGGGGGGGCAGAGGAGATGGTTCCACGTGAGTGGCTGGAGGGCACATACACAACTCCATTTGCACAAGCAGTTGGCACATGTGCCCACCTCTTGCACAAATTGAACTGTACGTGTGCTCACCCATTCGCTTCACACACAAGTGAATGCTGGCCTGTCATTTCTGCGGCTCAGTTCTGAACAGGCCCCTGGTCTAGAATGCAGTGTAAAATAAACAATGGAACTGACTGTGTTGACATTTTTTAATAAAAAGAATACGATTCTATGATTGTAATCTCATCTTTTGCATTCCAATACCTATTATAATCCATGATATGATGTATCATTAGCCTAATAACGAATCATTGCTCTTCTGCAGAGATGCAGGATATAACTCCACTAGACGGAAATGATTGTGCAGCTATGAGTGCTGACACAGGTGATTGGAAGAGTTATCCCTGTGACACTCCACTTCCTTATGTCTGCCAGAAACCGGTTAATGACAGTGAACCAGATTTCCCAGGTGAGTCCAAAATGCATTGTGAATTTAATTGTGGTCTGCCAAATCTTTACATAATGGCAAATGTAGCTACTGCAGAACCATTCCTGACTTTCCAAATACTTACTGTTATGTTCACCCAACATACTTAAAGTGATTACTAAATTGAATCTTTTTATTAGGACTCACACTTTACTCTGAAGCATAAGAGCTAATTAAGAATGTTTGTAAATTTTATATAATTTTTTCCTCAGATTAAAATTACAAGTTCAGCATAGGCTCAGCCATTCATTTTTATTTAAATACTTAAAGCTGACCATGTTACCTTGAGGTAAGATGGGTAGCCTATACCTTTTATAATGCTGTATGAACACAAGTATTTACGCTTATAGAGAGTAATGTGTACTAGAATTTGGACCAAATTATTTTTCAGGTAAGACACTGAGCTTGTTGATCAGAAAGGTCGGCAGTTCAGTGGTTCAAATCCTAGTGCCATGTAATGGAGTGAGCTCCCATTACTTGACCCAACTTCTGCCAACCTAGTAGTTCGAAAGCATG